TGCTGTAACATTTCCCTTCCAATGAATTACCAATTATCCATTTAATGGAAGACTGTAATTGGACATTGAAGATCACAAGAATTAAATCGGATTAAAAAGGAACCAACGCAGAAGGAGAAGAATTGGCACTGGTGGGTGATTGGAATTGGAAATTCCCCGCATGTGGGTTCCACACGTTAAAGATGTTATATTCATCAACCTAATGTCACCTTGGGCGACCATGCATTTAAGGTTTTCTTGGAGGACTTCGTATCTGTTAGTTATCCATTTTCTATCCCCAATAAAAAGATGGCATTTGTGAGACCCCACTTTAACGTCACTTTTTTCAATGTGAGGGCGAAATATGATATAGAGTTGTATACAAGTTCAACAATGGCGGGCGATCAGATTATGTTAAGCTGGAGCCACACAAGGAGAAACATTTTTTATTTGAGATTTAGCAATAATCTAGGAAATGGGGGTTGGAATAGTCTCCCCCACAAGCCCCACAGCAGTTTACACTTTGCATTTATGCACACCCCACAGGGTGTGCCCCACTCCCACATGCACATTTCAGCGTGCCTTGGGAACGTACACTACATGTTTCCAAAACATTGTAATGTGCCGTGTGGCACAAATGTAAAGTCTCCCATGGGCCGAGGGTTTTTTTCTTCTTACCGTCCCCGTGGGTTGAGGGTTGATCCGTGAGCTTGAGGAATTCAGTTACGTTTTTAGGTCAGTTGACAACCACGTGCCACTTGAACTTCTTGTGCATTATGCCTATTTTGGATGTTGTGAGCCTCATCGCAGAGTACAGGTAAGGTATCTGTAGACATGTATCATTGAATCATCTTTATATAATTGCGAATAGACTCCCCTTCCCTCTGGACTATGTCGATGAGGCTTTCTTGGGTCATCGGACACCTCTTGTTGGTGACAAAGTGGGAGGTGAAAATCTGCACGAACTGCGCCCAGCTTTTGATTGTTCCGGATGGGAGATTTCTATTACCTTGTACAAGCTACCCCCTTAAACGTAGTAGAGAAAGCTATGCACATACAGGACTCACCTGCTCCGACTAAGTGCATCTGTGATTGAAAGACATCTACATGATCATTCGGGTCGAACGGTCCATCATATTTGTCCAGGGGAGGTACTTTAAAATCCTTTGGCATTGGGACGACCAGGAGTTCGGGAGACAGAGGAGATGGTACAGAGAGGAGCGGAGTGGCTTTCACTGCTCTTGAGCTCACTTCTTCCTTCCCTTTGAGTTCGGGCAAGTTGTAGGTTGCAGTTCGGCGAGCTCGGCGACGTCTTCGCTGCTTCTTTGCCGGCTCTAAATTGGTGCTGCTGACCTCTGCGTTGTCTGGCACGGTTCTTGTGGGGAGTGGCTCAGACTACTGATGATGGCTGCGGATTGAAGGTCCTTGTCTAGAATACACAGCCAGGACCTCGAACCGGTTCTCAACGAGCGGGACCACAAATTCTGAAAGCCGAGGTGATGCGGGCCTGGTAGGCTGGGAATCTCCCGACCTGACCACGCGTGGCGAGCTGGGAGTAACTGGATTCTCCTTCCTGCCATGGGACGAGACCTAGCTCCTAGAAGGATTCTGGGTCTGGGAGGTCTCTCCCCGGCAAGAGGGGTGTTCGCTCCGATGGAGAGGCTTAGTCTGTTGTAAGGCCGGATGCCGAGGTGGAATCGGCTGCTGGTTTAGAGGCAATAGAGGGAACTGCTGCTGATACCGCTGTTGGTAAACATGGTGTAGTGCTTGCTGCTGGTACAGCTGGAATTGTTGGACTTTCTACACTTGACCTTGTATGGCTCGCATGCAGTGCATTAGATATTCAAGCTGGTTCTATTCAGCTATCGGGGGAATAGAAGGTTCCGTGAAAGTGGTGCCAACCGTGGAGGGGAGCGGAGCACTTACCGGTGCCATGATCTGAGGCACGTTCAAAGTCGGAACCCCATCCACAGAGAGAGGCAGGGTGAACTGACCAACACACACCTTCGGGACTTGAGGCTGGACCCTGGAGGTGTTCGCATCCGCGTTCCCTCCAGCGTTGCTGGAGGAAGCCATGAAAACTTGACTGGAACTGATTGTTAGCAGGAAGATGCTTTTTGAAGCATTCCCACAGACGACACCAATTGATGGTGCGCGATCTAGTCACTCCTAGTTGGCAGCGGCTACATTCCTAGTTGGCGACAGACAAGGTACCTGTGAGGAAGAAGGATTCCCGGGGAGCTTTCCCGACGGGAACACTCCGATGCTTAAGTTAGAACTCGGTGGAGAGCTGAGAGAGAGAGAGAGAGAGAGAGAGAGAGAGAGAGTTGCAGAGAAATTAGAGCTAGAGTGATGATCATGCAATACCCTTTGCTGCTTGGGGGTCGAGGTCCTTTTATACTAGCTTCTTGACGTGTCAAGTGTAACTGCCTCCGAATCTCTATGGCGGCGATTTGCTATCAAATAACGACCTGGAGTGGTTGGTCATTACTTGTCAGAGCTGAGTTGGTGGGCGAAGGTAGTGGCTGCAGGGTACAGTTCTGCCAGATGAGAAATGTTCTCCAGGGATGGCAGGCACGACGCCGCCAGGCGAGAGACGTGGGTGCAGTCTCCAGGTTTAGCAGGTACGGTTGTCAGGCAGGAATCCCCCTGCGATACACCTAACTGTTTTGCTATGAGCTACCCTACACCGAACTGCTCTGCAGCGAGCTACCTTACACCGACCTGTTGGTGACGTGCTGAGGTGCTTCTCCCCGAGGTACGTCTCTGAGGTAGCTTAGGGTCGGACAGTAGACTCTGACGAGCTTACCCGAAGTGTCTTCAGTTCGGGATACTTCTTACCTAGGAATCCCAAATCAGGGTGTTCCCTTCTTAGGAGAGAGCTCGAGGTTTTCCCTTCTTGGGAGAATTCAGGGTGCTCCCTTCTTAGGAGAGCTCGGGGTGATGGAGTACCATTTTGTAGCAAGCTGCCATTCGCGACGAGCTGCCAGGCTGGGTTTCAACGAGCTCACTATGCCGAGTGTAGTGAGTTCGTCATGCTGAGTTGTTACTCATGTCGAGTCACGTCCACAAGTCCCCCAGTTATGAGGTCGGGCCAAATCATCCTCCATCAGTATTTAAGATATCTTGAAAATTTCTCATGATATCTTTTTTTCAATGCAGCCATAATTATCAATGAAGGATAGTTCACAATCTTCCCCCATTTCATTTTCTCTTCCATATTTTCTATTAGGGTCACTTTAGATAACTTTGAAGGAGCACATTGGATTTATCTGTGGTTAGATTGGTTCTCTAACAAGTTGGGGTCACTTTAGGTCGAGGTTGAGCTTTGCCACCAAGGGCTTGGGGCCCCTTTTCTTTGCAAGAAGGAGAGGGAGAAGATTGCCTTAGCTTGCCTAGCTTGTCCTTCCTTGGAAATTTAGAGGATGGATTCGTGTGTTGCTGAGGCCTAACGAGTGGTACATGGCCAAGGCGTGGAGTGCCTTTACCTTAGCGAAGTAGCGTTATTCACTTAGTGTATTTGTTCTTCTTAGTTTGCATTAGGTAGTAGGTCGATGTCATAGGCTGATATTGTGGCTGAGGTCCTGAAAGTTCTTGGTCGTCGTCTAGTCCGAGTGTATAACCTTGGTGAAGGTTGTGTGCCACGGCTAGTCATGCAGTCGAGGGGTCCCGATAATTAGATGGAGTAAGAACGTTTACATTAAAAACTTGAACTAAGGTTGGAGGAACTTCACACACTTCATTGATAAGGCTTTTACTAGTGAAATTACATCATTGGTAGTACATTTAGAGGTTCTCGGGGTTCTAGGTACGAGGTACCGGTTTTCCACTCAAGTACTCCAACCGAAAGGTGTCGAGGCCAACCACCTGTTTGATTCTGTAGGGCCATTCCCAATTGGGACCAAGTTTTTCATTGTCGGGCTTGGGTACCATGACTTTTTTGAGGACAAGGTCACCCTCTTTGTAGTGACGCTCTCTCAATTGAGAGTTATAGTATACGGTGACCCTTTGCTGATAGGCTGCAACCTTGACCTAAGCCTACTCTCGGACACCTTCCAACAAGTCTAAATTGTTTTTCAACATTTCATCATTCTCGACCTCATTGTATGCTTTGGTCTAAAGCATTGGTTAGGATCTCTTCTGGGATGACAACCTTGGTCCCATATGTCAAATTGAATAGGGTCTCACCCATGGCAGTCCGAATTATCGTCCAGAAGCTAGTAATGTGAGATTGTAGTGGACTGTTTGGAAAGGGTTGGTAGCAGATCACTATCCCTATTTATCTTTTTTCTTTTGATATTTCAATCCCTATTTATCTACATCTATATTATTATGAAGTGATACTTTTGTTTTGGTGCAGGTTATAAGAGGTAATTTAATAAAATAGCTGTTATGCCTTTAATCTCTACTTTTTACTTGTACACTTACATCATAACACTGACCCTCACACCAGTAATATAGAGTTTGTAAATAAAATTGTTAGCTTTTCAAGCTTTAATGCAGTGCTGATATATTACTCATGAGAGTGATGGTATTCGCAATGCTTCTTCGTTAAAGGGAAAAATTGCTGCAACATTTCCCTTCCAATGAATTACCAATTATCCATTTAAAGACTGTAATTGGACATTGAAGATCACGAGAATTAAATCGGATTAAAAAGGAACCAACGCAGAAGGAGAAGACTTGGCACTGGTGGGTGATTGGAATTGGAAATTCCCCGCATGTGGGTTCCACACGTTAAAGATGTTATATCCCATTCTAATTCCGATTTCAGACCCGTATTCCTGTGAACCAAATGGGGTCCAAGAGTTTAATACTCAAAGCGTCATCGCTGATTTCTACACTTTTATGCCCAAAAAAGTAAAAAAAAAAAAATACTCGCCCTATAAATATCAGAAAAGCATTACAAGATAAGAGCACAAGACAGTTGGTAACCATGGCTTTGGTTGTGCTGCTTCTTCAGTTCCTACAGTCATGGCCAACCATGGCGATACCATCAACGGTGTCGTCTATGACTAAACCCGGCTGTGAATATAAGTGTGGCAACATCTCTGTTCCCTATCCGTTCGGCTTCGGTGATGAAAACTGTTACAGAAACGGCTTCGACCTCACCTGCAACACCACTTACTTCGATCCACCTAGATTGTTCTTGGGAACAAATGGTACTGTGGAAGTCTTACAAGTATCATCACTAGGTACTTTGCACATCAAAAACTTTATCGGTTACGATTGCTACAATAGATCGGGGTATAGTACTCGGTGGAGCTGGCCTTCGGTGGATCTGAAACAAAAACCCTGTACTTTTTCCGACACCCAAAACAGATTCACCTCTATCGGCTGCGACACCTATTCCTACATAATGACCACCAAGGGCAGTAACTTCACAAGCGGCTGTTCCATGATTTGCAGTGGCCAACGGGGCCTCATGAACGGGTCCTGTTCAGGCATCGGATGTTGCCAGACCTCCATCCCAAAGGGGTTAAAGGAGGTTGAACTGAGGCTCGATAGCTACAAAAAGCACATTCAAGTCTGGAATTTCAACCCATGCAGCTATGCTTTCTTTGTTGACCTAGACTGGTACAACTTCACAGTAACCGATCTTATGGGATACATGAGTTTTTATAACAGAAATGATGCAGAAGTTCCAGTCGTGCTTGATTGGGCAATAGAGGGTTATTGGTGCGAAAATGGCTCAACGAATGACACAGACTATGCATGCGGCCACAACAGCGAATGCTTTGATTCGCCCAATGGTCTCGGATACCTTTGCAAATGTTCCCGTGGTTACCAAGGAAATCCTTACCTCCAAGATGGATGCCAAGGTAATTTATTTACTCTTCATCCTTTTCGCTGATTTTTTAGAAACTTGGTTTTTGCTGTGTTGTCTAATTCCAGTTCAATTCATCGCACGTTATTGTAGACATAAACGAATGCCAGGATCTAAATAGCACCAACTGCTCCCATATTTGCATCAATACGCCTGGGAGCTACTACTGCTCCTGCCCACCTGGTACTCAAGGAGACGGAATAAAAAGTGGACGTGGCTGCACACCTCTGCCACCTTCCCAGACAGTGTCGCGGGTCATACTAATCTCCGTGGGTAATAAACCCCCTATACACTACCCAAGTATTACTGCTTTTATCATTAAAATTTATGATATTATCGTATGAAGTATAAACAATAAACTTCTATATTTAAGAGCTGTCTAGCAAAGTCATTTTTTAAAAATCTTCAGAATCAGAAAGCTTTGATGGTTAAAAGACAATGTAAGTTTTTGAATCAAAATCTTAGTAGTTTGAAGATTATTTGATTAAGGTGTATCTTTTCATGTGAAGATCAGTTAAAAAAAAAAAAAAAGGCAAAAAATTCTATTTGGGGGCTTTTTTAAAATAGCTCAAAATGAGGAGTTTTCTGCATCATTTTGGGACCGCAGTTTTCGACAGTTAAATCTTTTCTTAATTAAAGAGAAAAAGACTAAAATATAGATTACTGTACTTCTAAAAAACCGATAATCCGTGCTAAAAGATATACCAAACAGGGCCTAAGTGTCCAAACCCAACTTACCAACCATCTTTATGTAAAGCTCCAACTCAGTACTCAAACTTATTGTCTGTTGACAATTGAAAAGATGGACGGGTTTAAGAGCAAAGTAGGAGAAAGAAAATGGCAAATTGTGGATATTGCATCCAACCAACCTCTGATTTTTGTCTTACAGAGGTGTCAACTCATGCATAAATTAGAATTGGGAATTGATTTTATGTCTTACAAGGTGTCAACTCATGCATAAACTAGAATTCAGATCTTATCCTCACACTGTCCTTATAGGCACATCTCACTGTGTATTGGAAATATCTCTCATGAATAAGGGTGTCAATGTATCGGGTTTTGAATTGGTCCAAAATCAATTTGGACAGACCAATAAGACATATTAGATTGGACTAATTCGGTCCAAAATATTTATTAGATTGGATTAGACCTAATCCATCCGTAATAAATCTATATTGGATTGGGTTTGATTAAGCCAATATCTGGTCTATTGACATAAGATAAGATTATAGGTGTCAACGAATTTGAACAAATTGGATTAGATTATAAGTTTGAGTTGAAACCAATCTAAATTAAAATGAATTTGAACAGATCAGACAGTCCAAACATTGAATTGGACCAATCCAAAATATTCATTGGATTGGATTGAACCTGATCCATTTATAATGGACTCACACTGGACAGGATCGAATTGAACCAAATCCAATCCAATTGACATTCCTACCCATGAATAATAACACATAAGTATGAAAGATATTCCCAATACACAGTGGAATATGCCTCTAAGTCAGTGTAAAGCGCCCTATGAGAGGAGCAGATCCCGTCTCCATAAATTAATAACATGTCTAAGAATGGCATGTACAGGTGAGCATATTCGGATTGGGCACACACGACCTGCAAGTCAGGCGGACTGGAACGTATGGGTGATAATGGGATTGAGCAGGCCTATTTAGTTCCAATGATAAAGGCTTTTAATCTAGGGCTGGGCATCGATCGCATCAAATCCTCGTAAAAATGAAGGCCTGAGTCCAAACTAGGCTAGAGATCAAGTTCAATCTGTCCAACCCAGGCTCAGCTGGCAAAGAAATTTGAGGTATTTAGGTTGGATTTAGGGCCTGGCTGGGGCTTGGGCTGGTGAATCGGGTTCAGGCAGACCTTTTTGGTCCAACACAGTAAAAAAGTTGCCCTAAACCATTAAATAGGAATTTTGTATTTGTAGATCAAAGACCAAAAGTCCAAACCCAGCCCATCTTACATTGTGGGTTGGGTTGGTCTAGCCTCATATTCGGCTTCCCAATGTTCGGCTTCCCAGGTTGCATGCATGATACACCCCTACAGTCTATCACTCCCAAGTCCCAAATAACTAAGACCAACACTAAATAAAAGTCACACTTATATTGGGAGAATGACGCTCAATCCGGTTAGAAATTTTAGGTCTAAAGTACAGTTGGGACAGATGCTAATTCGAAATTGATGCTAATTTATGTGCGTTTATTGATATATAAAATGGGTTTTTTGACATTTTAAATGTTTATAATTCTACAGTAGAATTCAGAAATCTGCGTTACCCCTATTCATACTTTTTTTTTTATATTAAACTGTGTGTATAATAGTTATAAAGATTTGACCACTGATCATGACTATGCCAACATTGATATCATCGTGTCATATAAATTGTCACTTCAATGGGTTCATCATCTGGGTTTAGTTGCATTTTTCTTTATTTAGAGATTGACCATTATTAAGGGGTATTATTATTGGTATATTAGCTTATACATGTCTGAACAGTATGTGATGGGTAGGGTTAGCAATTTTGCATTACTTAAATGCAACATCTCGGATCCCTTGGGGGTATCCCATAAAAGTCTGAAGATTCAAACATTTTCAATAAAGGGATGGGAGCTTTTAGATAAGAGATATAATTTCTCTTTCATTGATTCTTTTGGGTTGGGCTACCTATTCTTGTGGAAGCATGATATATGAAAAAATACCTATCATCCATATGGACCGATAGGTATTGGTTTAATTTGTAACATGGTGCAACCTGGCATGGTAGGAATGGCGAAATTTCTGTACTGTTGCACTTCCATCGCTATTAGATCTCCTTTCAAGATAAGATAAAAGATTTTCCGAAAATTTCAATACATATAAAAAAACTCGTCATATTACCCGGCATTTGGTATAAAGTTTTCTCTAATTCTTGGCTCCTTCACTTTTCTTGTATGATGCAGGTGTAGGTTTGGGTATTGGGTCACTTCTTGGTAGTTATTGGTTATATCATGTTTTGAAGAGAAGGCAAATTAAAAAACGCAAAGAAAGATTCTTGAAAAGAAATGGTGGGTTAATATTAGAACAACGGAGAAAGTCAGAAAGAGATTTTGAGAAATTAGAAGTTTTTACATCAGAAGAGTTGGAGAAGGCAACAGACCACTATAATGAAAATAGGGTTCTCGGCAGAGGTGGCCAAGGTACAGTGTACAAAGGCATGTTATCAGATGGAAGAATTGTAGCAGTCAAAAAATCCAAAATAGTGGATGAAGACCAGCTCCAACCGTTCATTAATGAAATTGCTATACTTTCTCAGATCACTCATAGGAATGTGGTTAAATTGTTTGGCTGCTGTTTAGAGGCAGAAATCCCTTTATTAGTTTACGAACTCATCTCTGGTGGATCCCTTTCAGACAAGCTTCATGACCACGGTAAAAATTTCCGATTTTCATGGAGCAATCGTTTAAAAATTGCTACAGAAGTTGCAAGAGCAATTGCCCACTTGCATTCCAGCATGTATATACCAATCTACCACAGGGATATCAAGTCTTCAAACATACTCTTGGGTGAGAAGTACGAAGCCAAAGTTTCAGACTTTGGGATTTCAAGACCCGTGGCAATGGATCAAACTCATGTAACCACAAAGGTACAGGGGACCTTTGGGTACATGGACCCAGAGTACCTCCAGTCTGGTCAATATACGGAAAAGAGTGATGTCTACAGTTTTGGAGTAGTTCTAATAGAGCTTCTAACAGGTGATAAACCAATTGGCTCTCCTAGAGGAAATTTAATTGAACATTTTATTTCATCAATAAATGAGAACCATCTTTTCAAGATTCTTGATGTTCAAGTTGCACAGGAAGGTAAGAAAGAGGATCTACAAATAGTCGCCAACCTTGCAATGAGATGCTTAAAATTCAGTGGAAAAGAAAGACCAACAATGAGAGAAGTTGCATCGAAACTTGATGAATTAAGGAATTTTGAAGAACATTCGTTAGCTACAAATAATGAAGCTGAGATAGAGAACTTCATAAGTAAACCATCAGGTCTTTGGGATACAGGTTCAACTTCAAATGGCTGTGTAAGTGTGGAGAACAGTGTCATGTCATTAGTAGATGAACAACCTCTGCTGTTTAATGTATCGTCTCAGTCATCTTAGCTAAGACATGGATTTTGAAGAATAGTTCATTGTTGTTGTACTGTCCAATAGTATAAGCTTTTATTATTATTATTATTATTATTACCCTTGGACTATAAGATGAATTACATAAGATGAATTACATGGCAGATCTTGTGGAGGGTGTAATATATGAACATGAACATGAATAAAGTATGAAAACAGGTTATCATGTAATACATCTCTCTCTGAAACATATCCAAGTTTTCTTCCTTTTCTTATTTTCTGTTTTTTTTGTTGTACTTGTAAAATTTTATTTTATCTTTTGTGTCACTTGTTTAGAATGTTGGGATAAACTTTTTCCTTTTAAAAATATCAAAGCACAACGAGCACGACATGCATTTTGGTTTGGGTATTTTATAATTTGTATATAGCACGAAAAACATAAAAAACACAATTTGGGTTTTTTAATACTTTTTTACTTTTGACCCATATATGATGGTCTGAGCAGTAAATTCACTCCTACAAATCCAATTAGCTCAATGTTTTATGAAATACCACCAATTCAAGCCAACTATTTTTTTTTTTTGAAAATCCAATTAAAGCTAACTAATTAAAGTAGAAGCAGTACTCTTATGATATTTCTAATTGATCAGGACGAGTCTAAATGCCAAAGCCTATAACCCAAGCATTATTTTCGAGTTATGTATAGCCAATATGACCACAATCAAATTAAGTTACACCCCTGAGTTAGATTGGCCAATTTCCTTCGTTCTATTCTTTATTAATTATTAATTTTTTTTATTTTTATTAACTTTATTATTATAAATTTTTATTTAGTTATACTAAATTTTATGGAATTTTAAATTAATAAAAAAGTATTTTTGAAACAACAAATTATTATTAATTTTTTCTTAGTGTTTATAATTGTTTATCATTTTTAGTAGAGTTCAAATGGGTCTTAATATTTATAAGTTATTACTTTGTATTTATTTTATTAATGAATAATAGGTTTTATTTATTTTTTAATGTTACATTTTGAATTAATTTTTAAATGGAATTTAAATGTATAATTTTATTAGGCGGTGCTTGCCATCGATGCCATTGCTTCAGAGAATGGTTCCACGTCTGCACCACATCACAAAAGGTGGTGCGCCAAGAAATGCAGCCTTGTTTGGAACCATTGTTTTGGAAAATGGCCATGCATTGGAATTCAGGAAAGTGTTGCTCGAGAAAATGTCGAATTTGGTATTTTCTCCTTTTTGGAACCGTTGCTGCCAATTGTTCCATGACATGGCATATGTGTTATATTGGATATGTGGACCAATACTGAAAACAATTATAGAGAATTGATACCAAATAAAACTGATGCCTTTCCCCATAAAACATCTTATGTGGCAGCATTGATGCCAAATAACAAAAACAAGCCGTTTTCTCAAAAAACAGTGCAACAGATACAACACCGTTTCCTCAGAAAACGACTCTGAAGCAACGTTTATTTTTTACTTAATAATAGTTTTGAAAATAATTTTGTAATTATTTTTAAATAAAATTATTTTAATGTTTACTTTTTTGCTTAATAATTTTAATGAATTTTTTATTTTTGTAACTTGAATAATTTTTAAATCATTACTTTCATTAATTTCACTAATGAAAGTTTTTTTAATTTTTATTATTTTATTGATTTTTAGTAAATTAATTTTACTAAATATTAAAAATTGTCAATTAATTATTAATTTTTTATTTAAATTGATTTTAAATTAAAATATTATTTTTTGAACTAATAGTTTTTATTAATTTTACTATTTTTAAAAGTAACTTGAATGGACCAGCATTTTACACGGGTTCTATATAACACATGTGGATGGGCCTATAAGGTGTATGCAATACAAGTTTGAATGGACCCACATACGAGGTAGGTCAACTAAAACCCAGATCATCATCTTTTGCCCGGAAAAAGATAGAGGAACACAAAAAAAAAAAAAAATCGAATGTGGATAATTCAAATATCTAACCGGTCAAATTCATATATCCTATTCATACTTAATCGGATGCAAATTTGGATATGACCTGATTCGATTCGATAAATATCTAAATTTAACTGATTATTTAATTCTTATATATAATATATAAAATTTTTAAATGTTTTATATAATTTATATGTATAATAATTAAATTATATAAATAATTTGTATATTTTATATACTTTATATAAATAAAATATTTATTTTATATATTTATTATTTACCTAAAATAATTAACTAGTCGAATTCAAACCGAACTGAATATTCGAATATTTAGTCCAATTCATATTCGAATATTAATTTTCAATATCCGCCAGATATTGAATAGAATCCGGATATCGAATTTTTTAATCAGATTCAAATTCGAATATTGGCTGATCTATTCAAATTCAATCCATTTGCACCCTAAACAAAAGAGGAGAAACAAAGAGGAGAAAACTAAAAAACAAACGGAAAAAAGTTAAAAGAAGATAAATTAAAAAGAAGAGAGCTTTTTGTTCGTATTGCTGTTTGTATCAACGGAGCAAGAAATGTTTTTATTGGGAGGGAAGAAAAGAAAAATGAATCGGCCCGCGATTGATGTAACTAAGAGGAGGTAACTTGTTATCTTTATCTTGAGACTTGATCATTGTAGCCTTATAGAGATCTTCATGATTGTGGTCATTGGGATTGAACCATTAATTGAAGAAGATACAAATCCTCCAACCCTTCATCAAGAACTCGCATCTGCAGCAACCGCATCTCCTGTAAACCATCTAAATTTTTGTGGACCTTTTTCATGTAAAATCAATTAAAAACTTCTTAGCTTATCATAGGGGTTCTCAAACAGCCGTTGCCAGTGTGGGGTTTTTGATATTTTGAATGTTTATATCTCTGCAGTGGAATTCAGAAATCTGCATTGGGTCTGTTTATATATTTCTGAATTTTCTATTGATTATTCGATCCAAGTGCATTGGTTTCCTTGTCGTTTGGGGTTCTCTTCGATTTGTACTACCCAAAGGAAAAATTTAGGGAGAATGACGGTTCAGCCCAGGGTCAAATTTTTTAGGCCCAAAGTATAGTTGGGGTGGATGCCAGTTCAGAATTGATGCCAGTTCACGGATGGGCATTGGTGTGTAGAGTAGGGGTCTTCGACATTTTGAATGTTTATAGCTCTGCAGTGGAAATCAGAAATCTGCATTGAACTGTCTATACTTCTCCATGAAAATTCGGAAATATGGATGAGGGCGACCTAGGTAGGTAGAGCAACGACGCGTACTAGTCAGTCTACCTCCTCTGTATTGAAACTTCTAGTTCTACATGGATTGATGCCAATCTACCTCCAACTAAGGCTGTCAATGGACCGGTTTTGGATTGGACCCCATCCGGTTCAAAATCAATTTGGATGAATTAGACGGACCAATCAGACATATTGGATTGGATCAATCCAGTCCAAAATATTTTTTAGATTGGATTAGACCTGGTCCGTTCTTAATAAATTTATATTGAATTGGGTTGGATTAAGCCAAATCTGGTCCATTGATATAAGATAAGAATACAGGTATCAATGGACCAAGTTTGAGTTGAAACCAATTTAATTCAAAATGAATTTAAACAGATTTGATGGTCCAGACGTTAAATTGGATCAATCCAAAATGGTCCAAAATATTCATTAAACCGGATTGGACCTGATCTATTTATAATGAACTTACATTGGACTGAATCACATTGGACCAAATCCAGTCCAATTGACACCCCTAAAACGCTGGTTGTGCAATGGCTAGAGCAACGTTCCAACACAGTTACACAGGTTGTTCTTGCGGTTCAGGGAAGGCATCCTATGGTGGATCCCGTACAGTATTGATCAAACTGCAACAACTTGGTCTTCAATGGTGGAGCTATTTGAAGATGCATATCCAGAAGCAATGGAGAAATGTCTGGAAACAACTGGGTGTGTGTGGCTCTAGCATCTTGTGGGTAGGCAGATCCGTTCATGTTTCCGTATCTGATGTTAATGGTTAGGTGTTAACATTGTTGTTAATACTATCTGCTCTGGGTGTGGCCATCTGCTATCTTTTGTTAGGCTCCGTTTGGGAAATATACAAATATAAATATGTACAGTGGTGCATTTATACTCTCCCCAAATTGAGCTTTAACATATTTGTGTTTGTACAAATTTGAGCTGTACATATTTGTATTTCTACTCTTTTCTAATCGGTTCTTAACAGCAGATTGTGGTCCACTTTAACTGCAAGGAGAACTAAAATATAGAAAATTCGGCTGTTTGAGCCATGGCTAAGTAGTACACTGCAGGGGTGATTGAACCGTGAGCCTTCTTTCCAAACATAACTGGTCTTTCAGTTTTTGGACCAAACTGAAAGTAATTGCGTTGGTTCTTAGGTTTTTTGAATTCATAATATGTATTATTAATAAATATATAATTATACTAGTGGGGACTCGTGTGATGCACGTGATTTATTAAGTGAAAGCTAAATAACAGAAATTGTCATGTATTAAAATAACCGTATAGTTTCATAGATTTACTAAAATCTACCTTATAATTAGCATTTCACTAAAACACCACTTATAATTTACAATAAATTTAATCAATCTTTCACTAGATAACAGTGAAAAATGAAACTGTTGACCCTAATGCTCATTTAAATAAATTTAATCAAAAGAAAATAAAAGTTAAAATACCATTTTTGTCGTTAATAAGACACGGACAACCACTATTGGCTATATTTCGTCAATTTTTTTTATGTAAAAAAAAGTGTTAAGGGTATTTTTGGAATAAAAATTATGGGCCTAATGGCAAAACAAATACTCTCTAATGAAAGGTTGATTAAGTAAATAAGTTGTAAAATATATTAGATGTTTTAGTAAAATGAAAACTATAAGATAGTACCAGAACCAATGATGTCATCATCAGGAGATGTATTGGGAACATCTCCCTATGATAGTACAAGAATCGATGATGTCATCATCGGGAGATGTTCCCAATAAATGACGGGGATATGATGTGGGACATGGTGGGGCACCCTCTTGTGGGGCGTAGATGTGAACTCATAAGAGTATACAATTGTTTTATATTTTCAACTTTTTAAATAATTAATAATTACTACTTTTAATAAATTTTTATAATACAAAAATAACAATAATTAATTTCAGTTAG